AAAAAAAAAAAAAAAAGGAAAGAGCAAGAGACCCTGAGCACAAGCCCCAATACCAGCACACAAAAGAAAAAATTAAAGCACACCGTGAAGCCAGGCACCAGTGGCTCACACCTGTAATCCTAGCTACTGAAGAGGTTAAGATCTGAAAATCACAGCTCAAAGCCAGCCCAGGCAGAAAAGTCCCCATGTGACTCTTATCTCCAATTAACCTCTCAAAAACTGGGAGCAGGGTTGTGGCTCAAAGTGGTAGAGCTTTAGCCTTGAGTAAAAGAGCTCTGGGACAGCACACAGGGCCTGAATTCAAGCACCACAACCAAAAAAAGAAAGCATACAATGAGCCAACTCTTTCCACCAACAAGGAGTTCCTCATAAACATTCCACACTTAAAACTTTTTTTAAAAAATTACAACAAAGAAAATAAATGGGGAATTCTCATTTACCCAAAATGTGAATTTCTAGTACTCAAGAACTTACTTTTGTAGGTGGAGCAGCAGGTTTAGGGACTAAGCCTTTATAAACACTTGGACCAGTTCCATTCTTAACTGGCTGTGACTGAAGATTTCCTGCTACTGGGAATCCAGATAGCTGTAAGTCTTTTGTATTACCTTTCTTAATAACCAGCATCCTTGGAGCTCTAGATTTAGGATTCGGAGGGTACTCTGCATAAACAAAGCACAAAGAAGAGTTACAATTTCAAATCTTGGCATGATACAAGTTCACCTAAAGGGATAATATATTCTAAACTTTTATTATATTTAAAATAGTAACGGCAGCTGGTTCCCGTGTAATTAAGCTACGTGCAGACTATATTCCAGCTAAAGAAATAAAGATAAAACATAATCTCATAAAACATAACAAGAACTGAGCAATGTTACTAATACAAATGAATCCATCTAGATATAACTGAAAAACTAAGGTTAAATTTAATTTTCCAGTTAAATTTTTAAAAATTACAAATTTCATCCTCTAGAATTCTAAATATTTATAAAATGAAATACATTGTTTTCTCCTTACCTATTTTGCATAGAAAATCAAATTTTCTAATTCCTTTTCTTTCACACTATATATATAATTATACTCAATCATAACCAATGACCCACGGTTCCTTACTTCTAAATACCTATTTAATTAGTTAAAATAATTACACTTTCTTTTTTTTTTTTTTTTCCTGGAGCCTGAACTCTGGGCCTGGGCGTTGTGCCTCAGCTCTTCAGCTCAAGGCTAGCTAGCACTCTACCACTTGAGCCACAGTTCCACTTTTGGCTTTTTCTGATTATGTGGTGCTGAGGAATAAAACCCAGGGCCTCATGCATGCAAGGCAAGCACTCTACCACTGAGCCACCTTCCCAGCCCACACTTTACTTTCTTAATACCAATTCATTCAAATATTTACTAACTAAACTCAAGGCATCCTGTGAGAGCAGAGCAACCAGCTTAATTCTGCTTTCTAAGATGAAATAGGAATTGCTAAATGAAGACATTTTTCAGGATTATTGCACTTTGAAACATTATATGCATACAACTATTACAGAAATGTCTTTCTTCCCTTACAAAAATAAAGAAAGCATCTGTTTCATAGTCAGAAAGTTTAAGAATTTACTCAAAGAAAAAAATCCCAGAAAATCTAAATTAAAGTTGGCTTTGCATGTTGTATATGAATTGCTAAAGGTTTGTGGTGATACTCTGCCCCAAAAATACCTAGAACTAGACTATACTAGAACTCCTAAGAGAATCTAGAGGGGAATCTAGGTTCTATGAAGTTTCAAACTCTCCAAAAAGTAAAAGCTAGTATGGTGAGTGTTCTACCTATTGTCATGCCGACATAAAATAGTGAGTGCTGCTGGGCACAAGTGGCTCACACCTGTAATCCTAGATACTCAGGAGGCTGAGCCCTGAAGACTGCAGTTCAAAGCCAGCTCTGGCAGGAACGTCCGTGAGACTCTTATCTCCAATAAACAACCAGAAAACTGGAACTGGCTCTGTGGCTCAAGTGGTAGAGTGCTAGCCTTGAGCTAAAGAGCTCAGGGACAGCACCCAGGACCAGAGTTCAAGTCCCACGACTGACAAAAAAAATAAAAAGTGCTGAGACCAAACCTGAAGAAGTTCATCTTAAAGTTAAACACATGTTGATGCACTAGAGCAAACATTCCATTTCTTGGCTTACTAAAAAGGCCCACTATAAAACAGCTAAAAAGGACTTATAGCACACAAGAAGACAGAAAAGTACATCTAAAGTACATGCTTTTCAGGGGAGGTTTTATACAATGAAATCAACAAACAAAATAACAACAGATAACAATGAGGAATATTAGAAAGCAAATTAAACGATCTAAGTTTTTTAGAAAGCAAATTAAACGATCTAAGTTTTACAATGATTACATTTATTAAACAAATGATACCAGGATGAGTAAGTGTCAGTGTATGCCTATAATCCCAAATTTGAGTTTAGATTGAACTCCAAAGTGAAGACTATGTCTCAAAAACTAAATAGTTAAAGCTGGGTGCTGGTGGCTCACACCTGTAATCCTAGCTACTTAGGAAGCTGAGATCTGAGGATCACGGTTAGCCAGCCCAGGCAGGAAAGGCTTTGAGACTCTTATCTCCAATAAAACCAGCAGAAAACTGGAAGTGGTGTTGTGGCTCAAGTGGTAAGAGTGCTAGCCTTGAGCTGAATAGCTGAGGGACAGTGCCCAGGCCCAGAGTTCAAGCCCCATTACCGACAAAAAACAAAACAAAACAAAACAAAAAACTAAATAGTTCTTGAAACCAGCATGGAAGCATGTCCCTGAAGTTTAACAGTTGGAATTAGAAAGACTGCTTGAGCACAGTAGTTCCACACAACATAAGCCATACAGAAAAGGCTTGTCTTTGATTGTTTGGGTTTTTAATGAGAAAATCATTACCTGGAATTTAAAATCTGAATTACATAAAACCCAAGAATGAGGAATAACTGGAGGTTAAGAAATATAAAAGGAAATGAGTCGATAAGGTATCTCATCTTCAGAAGAATCCAGGAGTTAAAACAGAAGCATGTGAGGGGAAAACTGAGTAAAAGCAAGGGAAGGGGTGACACTGTCCAACCTGACATAAAACTGTAACCACTCTATACATCATCTTTATAACAATTTTTTTAAAAAACAGACTATCAATACATGACAAGATTAAACATGACTGATGAAGACACTTCTAGTTCAAAATGGTCATCAAGCATATTAAGCTTTCTTCCCTTATAAATATTCACATCATTGTTACTACAATGGGGAGCAAAACCAAATAAACAGTTTGAGAGTCATGTCATCAGGAGGGGAATGATCTCAATACAATGCATAAAGGATTGAACAGGTGAGACATGGCATAAGCTATTCTGTGAAATCTCACAGACCGGGATTTGAAAGTGCCATGCCGGGCGCTGGTGGCTCATGCCTGTAATCCTAGCTACTCAGGAGGCTGAGATCTGAGGATCGCAGTTCAAAGCCAGCCCGGGCAGGAGAGACCATGAGACTCCTATCTCCAATAAACCAGCAGAAAACCGGAAGTGGCGCTGTAGCTCAAGTGGTAGAGTACTCGCCTTGAGCTGAAGAGCTGAGGGACAGCGCCCAGGCCCAGAGTTCAAGCCCCACGACAGACCAAAAAAAAAAAAGAAAGTGCCTGATATGGCAGGGAGCAGAAAATAAACCTTTTCCAGACAAAATCAAATTATTCACCAAAAGAAAATCCTATTCTAAAGAATGTATTTTAGGTAGAATATGACTCTATACAGAAAGATGAAGAAACAAGAAGAAATATCATTGATACATATGCAATCATACATTATAACTAGGAGGCAAAGATGGAGAATATGTAAGTCACATATAATCTTTAAGCCTCAAATAGACTCTGACTAGAATTTTCACCTAAATTGGATTCCTTGGAGCAAGAAATATTCTGGCTGTTTCTTCAATGAGGTCCTCAGTGCAAAGAATGATGAAATGTCCTATAAGGAAGAAACGTGAAGCCTAAGACATCACTCACAGAAGAGATGACAAAGGTACTTGAAGGAAGATGATCAGGAATGAGAAGGAAGAAAAGCCGACAGTGGTTGTTGTGCTTTTTTAACATTCATATTCCAGTATCAAAACAGCGTTAAAGAAAACATGTTTTGTACATAACTCATCCAAATCTACTATCTCCCAACTAGCTCTTAACTGTATTTATTGTACCACTCTGAAGAAGAGTTCATGTCTCAGCATTACTATAAATGTCTATGTTAAAATAATTACTATAAAAATGTACATGCTTGCCAGGCACTGGTGGCTCACGCCTGTAATCCTAGTTACTCAAGAGGCTGAGATCTGAGGATCACAGTTCAAAGCCAGCCCAGGCAGGAAAGACCCTGAGACTCCTATCTCCAATAAAACAGAGAAAACCAGAAGTGGCACTGTAGCTCAAGTGGTAGAGCGCTCACCTTGAGTTGAATAGCTGAAGGACAGTGCCCAAGCCCAGAGTTCAAGCCCCATGACCCACAAAAAAAAAAAAAAAAAGTACATGCTGTTACAATTAAGAGTGTCCATTTGTTTTAGGGTAAAAACATGAGAGGTAAGAAATGTGAAAAAATGTAAGAGAAATATGATAAAAGCCAGTATATCTCTTTATAGTTATTCTGAATAAATTAGGTACATGAATTTGCCCATTTAAGAAAAAGATGTTCTCAAATGCTAATAGTTACCTATAGTAATGGAAGAGACAGGCATTACTTGCATTACTTAGGTTCTTCTATACTAAGTTTCAATGTGTTTATCTCAAGCTCACATGAACAGATACCTTCACAAAAAAAATTTAATTTTAGCCAGGCACCTGGGGGCTCACACATCTCAGGAGGCTGAAATCTGAGGATCATGAGTCAAAGCTAGCCAAGACAGAAAGTCTGTGAGACTCTTGTCTCCACAGAAAACTGGAAGTACAGCTGTAGCACAAAGTGGTAGAACCCCAGTCTTGAAGAGGAAAGCCCAGGGATAGCTCCTAGACCCTAAGTTCAAGCCCCACAACCAACCAAAAAAAAGTTAATTTCAAAAACCTTGAAGGTAAATATAGTTTTAGGAGTTTCATAAGGTTACTCCCTCTATCTTCACAAATAACTAATCTCAAAATACGTGGCTTTTATTACTTGGTCTTGTTACTTTTTACTCACACTTTCTTCATACCTGTGAATATAGTTTCATTCCTCAAATAGTCAATAATGGATTGAAAATGACTCAACTCTTCAGAATACAAATTAAAATACCATTACAAATAATAAGAACTAAACTGACACTAGAGAGGATGATGTAGAAGGATTAAGAATTCCAAGTCAGCCTGGGCTGCATAGTAAGACTATCTCAAAAACAGTAAAATTGGTGTCAGGTGGTGTTGGTATAATCCTGCTATGCAGGAGACTGAGATCTGAGGATAGCAGTTGAAAGCCAGCCCAAACAGGAAAGTTTGTGAGACTGTTATCTTCAATTGACCACCAAAATGCTGGAAATAGAGCTGTGGCTCAAAGTGGTACAGTGCCAACCTTGAGCAAAAACAAAAACAAAAACTCAGGGACAGTCCCAGACACTGAGGTCAAGCCCCATGAACCACGGAAGAAAAAAGAAAAGTAAATTGGCCACAGGAATAATTCAGAGTTGATATCTCAATTCTTCAACCTCAACCTACTACATAAAATTTCCCATTCAAATCATTACATTAAGTTTTACTTCTTTGATCTACCATGGAGAAATTTTGTTTCTGTCTTTTAATTAACCTATAACTGGAACCATCTTTCTGTATTTGAGCAAAATAATTATCTAAACATTTGACCTGATACAGGCTTTTAAAACACTAAACAGTTTAGCACTACTCATTATCTTTCTGTGATCTTGCTCAGGCCAGAGATAACAAATTCACATGGAAATCAAGATACTGAGCTATCTGTCCAAAAATCTAAATCTGTCCAAAATCTAAATGAACAATTATGTAAAAGTACTATTAGAGCCTAGATCTAACCATTTCCAAAGCCCAGTGTTCTTAACCACTATATTGTGGAGAAAAATGAAATTAAGCTGTCCCTATTGCCATGTTATTTTCAAAATGTCTATCATCCCTAACACTGCTGGACATATAGAAAGACATGTGAAGTCAAGGTCACGCTGATGGCACATACTACTACAGATTCCTTGCTATTAAAACACAAGCAGCAAATTTAGCATGTAAACAAACAAAATCATACAACCTAGTGAAAGACAGAAATAGTATTTGAATTCTTTTTCAATTAATTTGAAGAGGAAATTTGGTTCTATAAGACAATAATGTCCACTGATTAGCAAACTCAAAAGAAGCTTTATCAAGCAATAAAAATATTCCCACTGTGAACCCTAATTCTAATATAAAAAGGCTATCTGCTAAAGAAAATTACGGATAGGCATATAGCTCAATGATAGAGTACTTGCTTAGCATGCACAAGGTCTTGGTTCTATTGGAATGCTCTAGAAAACTTATCTTTAAGACCCACTCGTCTTGGTTCTATTGGAATGCTCTAGAAAACTTATCTTTAAGACCCACTCACTAATTAGCTTTGACTTCAGAAGGCTAACCAAATCCCAATCAAACAAAAAAATCTTGGGGCTGGGAAGGTGGCTCAGTGGTAGAGCGCTTGCCTTGCATGCTCGAGGCCCTGGGTTCGATTCCTCAGCACCACATAAGGGAAAAAAAAAAAACTGGAAGTGGCGCTGTGGCTCAAGTGGTAGAGTGCTAGCCTTGAGCTGAAGAGCTGAGAGACAGAGTTCAGGCCCCACGACCGGATCCAAAAATAAATAAATAAATAAATCTTTATGCTTATTAAGTGTATTAATTATGAGCAAAACTCAAGGAAGCTCAAATTATCAAAATATACACAAAAATGCTAAAGTGAAATAGAATTGTTATTGGTAACCAAAATTTTTCACTATTATTTTAAGCACTAAATGTTAAGATCTGTTAATGCTATGTTGCTGACATACTGAGTCACTTATGTAAAAACTTAAAAAGGACATCTGAAAACTTTCAAATCAACAGCCGCTAATTCGAACTCAAATTGCCTACTGTAAATGATTGTTTCTTCCTCACATCCTCACAAATGGAGTAACACAATTTAGAAATTCTCACTGACACATGTTAGCTGACTGAAATCCTGTTTCCAAGTCTTAAATTATTAAGAACATATAGACAGGTTACTTAAAAACCACTAATTTTATGTAATCTTATGTTGTGCTTTTGTCAAAACAGAACACTAAGTCACAAGCCCGAAGGAGATGTTTGCAATAAAACCAACTAAGTTCTAACTCAAATTAAGTTGATATAACTATTTAAATGGCTTACTTTTCCTCAAGTTATTTTTTATTGGAGTATTATGTTTAATATTTGACAATTTTTGTTCTTTCAGGAACATAATATCTTTTTTTATACATAATACATTTTCATTAGTAAATTTTTACTTACCTGGAAAGAAGTAGCACTAGAAAAGCTCTATTGAAGTCTTTCCTAAAATTCTCTCCTCTTCCTCAGGAACATAGCTATTCTAAATGTTGCAATGAGGAAAACAATACTTGGGAACCCAAGGGGAGGGGAGGGGGCAGGGTAAGAAAGGAATAGTGATGTGGGATACAATGAGAGTTTCATTGTATTACTGGGGAAAGTACTGGGAATTTAACAATTAACCATGCCACAATTAATCATTTTCTTTTTTTTTCTTTTTTGAATGCAGACACATTTCTTAAGTTTACCTAAACACATAAAGAGTACATCTTCCATTTAAACATTTTTTCTACTATAACTCAGAATCCTTAAATCAACCCTGAAACAGTAAAATCTAATTCTGTATAACATTTTAATCAAATTTTCAAAATATATCTTTGCCTTTAAATCATTTGTAAGATTTTTAAGTCAACCAAGGATTAATACCAGTACTATCTATATGTAGTTTTATATATAAATGCTGACATTCTGGATTGTAAAAATTGACTTTCATTCTAGTAAAATTCAAATTATTCCTAATTACTCAGAGATTCTATTTAATACCCTCCAGGTGGTTCTATATTCTTATGCAATCAGCTGTTCCCAGAAAAACTGAATAATAAGGAAACATACCTAAGAGAGGAGCTTGGGAGAGTTTTTTGGTTGGGTATGTGTGTGTCTGGGCGTGTAGGCCTGGGGAGAGTGGTAGAAATACTAATTTGCAATACAGAAAAAACAATGCCATTCACATGGTTCTAACAAGTGTCTGACCACCCCCACCCCCACCCTCAAAAAGCCCTTAAATAAAGAGGGAGATAAAGGAAATGAAGTTAATTCCCCAGTTTTACTTGACAAATACAATTACAACCAGCATAGGAAGTGGCAAAGTTTAAAATAATGCCTTTATTGTTAGGACTAGTATGCTATCATAAGCCACAATCCTTTTCTATTTGTTACTGTTTTTCAATTAAAAAATGCAAATGAACATGTGTATTTAGTGTCAAAGTTGACAGAACTTTGAGCTTGGTACCAAATAATTAAATTTATTTTTCAGATGTCAAATCTTAAAAAATTTTATAGTATAAAATTTTCCATTATTTTAAACTTCACTTGAATCTTTTAAAAGCTAACTTGTACTATGAATGCAATTTAATCTATTAGATGCTATCAAATAAACTCTCAACATTTTTAAACAGGGAGTTATAAGAAACTATCATTACATTTTGAAAATCAAAAAGGAAAATAATTTCAGATATAGACTAACCCAAGGAAAATATGCAAATTATTTTAATAGTCATTAATCTCATTACACCACAATCAGAAGTACTTATCTTTCCAGTTAATCAAATTTTTAACTATGAAAACTAAAATCTTAAACTAAGCTTTTGGTATTTATAGATTACCAGGCTGCTCTAGAAATTACATTAATTTAAAAATCATTTCTAGATAACAAATTAAAAGTACACTTAATGATACTAACAGTCAATTATTTCTTATCATACCCCAACTGATGTAGCTTAGCATACCAAAAAGTGTAAAAAGTAAAAGCTTTATTCTAGCCTGCTTTATATTAAAAAACAAAAGAATAACACCAACATTTTATACCCCCAAAAATAAATAAATAACCACTTACCCCATACACCTGCAGCTAAAGATTTATTCTGATTTGGTTCTCTCTCATATTCAGGATTTAAAGATGGCTGAAAGAAAACTGGAATTAGTGTCTCACATTTAAAAGCTACATCCTTTTTCAAAAGGATCACATAAGTATTGAGGAACCTGATTTAACACTTTGCTTGCTATTAATGATTAATTATTACTCATATACTTATTTCCAACTTACTCTGCTAACCATTAAAGCTCTTACTTTTTTTGGGGGGGGGGGAGAGGAGGAGGTCCAGTCATGGGGCCTGAACTCTGGGCCTGGGCGCTGTCCCTCGGCTTTTCAGCTCAAGACTAGCACTCTACCACTTGAGCCACAGCACTCTTTTTGAAGTAAAAATTTATACTTTAGAAAGAGTGCATTGAAAGCAAACTCAGTGATAAAGACATAAAAGAATTGAAAATTGATCTTAATTTTTTTCTTCTTTAGACTTTATGCTGAGGAAGAGATCATACTTTATTTATGTATGCTTTTTTTTTTTTTTTGGTCGGTGGTGGGGCTTGAACTCTGGGCCTGGGTGCTGTCCCTCAGCTCTTTAGCTCAAGGCGAGCGCTCTACCACTTGAGCTACAACGCCACTTCTGGTTTTCTGGTGGTTTATTGGAGATAGGAGTCTCACGGTCTCTCCTGCCCAGGCTGGCTTTGAACTGCGATCCTCAGATCTCAGCCTCCTGAGTAGCTAGGATTACAGGCGTGAGCCACCAGTGCCCGGCATAAATGTTTTTTTGTCAGTTGTGGGCTTGAACTCTGGGCTTGGGCACTGTCCCTTAGTTTTTTAGCTGGAGGCTAGGGCTCTACCACTTTCGCCACAAAGCAACTTCCCGTTTTTTGTGGTGATTAATTGGAAATAAGAGGCTTATGGACTTTCCTTTCCCGTCAGGGCTGGCTTTGAACAGTGCTCCTCAGATCTCAGCCTCCTGAGTAGCTAGGATTACAGGCATGAGCCACCGGTGCCCAGCAGGGATTATACTTTTATACTGAAATTTTTTTGTGTGTGCTATATCTTGCCCAGGCTGGTCTTGAATTTTTAGACTAAAGCTATTCTGACTTCAGCTTCCTAAGCAGTACAAGTGGTAAGTTGTTGGCACTTAGGCTCTAGATTGGACTTGACACGTTCATGTAATGTTGGTCTAATTCTTAGAATTACAATTCCTGCCTCTTGTGTCATTTTTTCCCATTTTTTTCTTTAAACTTTTTTCTTGGGTAGTCATTGGGGAAACTAAAGACTTTTTTTTTCTATCTAGCAGTTAAGTATAGAAAGTGCTTTAGGGGCTGGGAAGGTAGGTGGCTTAGTGGTAGAGTGCTTGCCTTGCATGCATGAAGCCCTGGGTTCGATTCCTGAGCACCACATAAGCAGAAAAAGCCGGAAGTGGGGTTGAGGCTCAAGTGATAGAGTGCTAGTCTACAGCTGAAGAGCTGAGGGACAGCGCCCAGGCCCAGAGTTCAGGCCCCACGACCAACAAAAAAAAAAAAAATAGGGGTGGGGTGGGGTGAGCGGGGTGGGGGGAAAGAAGTATCACTAGATAAGTGGGATTGTATTCTACATCAACTTTTCTGTAACTTAAAAAAGCAAAATTGAGCAACAAGAAAGTTTGGCAAGGGCTGGGAAGGTGGCTCAGTGGTAGAGCACTTGCCTTGCATGCTCAAGGCCCTGGGTTCGATTCCTCAGCACCACATAAGCAAAAAGAAAAAAGCAGGAAGTGGCGCTGTGGCTCAAGTGGTAGAGCACTAGCCGTGAGATGAGGGACAGTGCCCAGGCCCAGAGTTCAGGCCCCACGACCGGACCCAAAAAAAAAAAAGAAAAGAGGACCCAAAAAAAAAAAGAAAGTTTGGCAAGTTGTTCAAAACCACAAAGAATATATTTACAACTAGCCCTCCAGGCACACAGAATATACTTACATTTATAATCCTAGCAATTCAAGAGGCTGAGACCTAAGAATCACACTTCAAAGCCAGCCCAGGCAGGAAAGTCCATGAGACTCTTATCTCCAATTAACTATCCCCAAAACATCAAGTGGAGCTATGCTCAAAGTGGTAGAGTGCTACCCTGGAGCACAAAAGATCAGAAAAGACAGCACCTCAGGCTGGGAAGTTGGCTCAGTGGTAGAGTGCTTGCCTTGCATGCATGAGGTCCTGGGTTCAATTCCTCAGCACCACATAAGCAGAAAAAAGCCAGAAGTGGAGCAGTGGTTCCAGTGGTAGAACACTAGCCTTGAGCTGAAGAACTGAGGGACAGCCCCAGGGCCCAGAGTTCAGCCCCCATGACTGACCCAAAAAAAAAAAAAAAAAGACAGTACCTAAGCCCAGAGTTCAAGCCCTACGACTGACCAAAAAATAAAAATAAAAAAGCAGTGTTCAGATATATTGCATGTTGAAACATAGGAATAATTATTTTTGGTAGAAACATTGACATTCTTAATTGCACTTGACCTAGGATAACAACTCATTTCCTTAACTACATGGGAAGCTGTCTTGGGATTAGTTTAAGAATCAAATATGAATAATAAGTATTCTTTAAACATAACTTTGTAGAGCAGAGATTGTTGGCCTAGCCTGAGTGAAATCCAGTTTCAATTCCTAGCACCACATCAATCAGCAGACAGACAAAATATATTTGTTAAAAATAAACGGAAACGAGGGATTTTTCTTGTTGCTGTTTGTATTCTTGTCATATTTGTTCCTTTATCTGTCTCTGAAAGGCTGGGGTGGGGGGGCGTGGAAATGGAGGAAGAAAGGATGAATAGAGAAGTGGTATTCACTAAACACTATGTTAAAAATGAACTAGGGGGGGAGTGTAGTTGTGGAGGTGGGAGGGTAGGGGAAAAACAAAGGAGGAGGTAACAATGCTTGATAGGAAATGTACTCATTACCTTGCTCATGTAACTGTAACACCACTGTAAAGTATTTTTACAATAAAATACGTATTAAAAAAAATGAACTATATGACTTGTTAGTGGCAATGGGAGGGAAAATCTGGTACAGTGAGGGAAGTGTCCATTGTCCAAAAAGAAATGTATTTTTTATATGACTTTTGTAACTGTAACCCCTCTGTACATCACCTTTATAACAATTCAATTTTTTAATTAAACAAATAAGAATCCATAAAAATATACAAGCCAAGGAGAGTAGTTCACACCTCTAATCTTATCTACTTGGGAGGTGGAGATCAAGAGATCAAGGTTTGAAGTCAGCCCAGGCATAAATGCTAGGTCCAACTTAATTAATAGCTGAACAGTGAGAACACCTGTCATCCTATGTGGAAAGCATAAGATCACAAGTCTAGGCCTAAACATACACATAAAAACTTGCTTGAAAGTTAAAAAAGGCAAAAAGGTCTGGGGATAGGGCTCAATTGACAGGGTGAGTACTTAACAAGCACTAAAGCCTTGAGTTCAACCTCAATTATCACAAAAAAATAAAAATACAGAAAATGTAAACGAATGTAATCATAACTGTAGCGAGTGCATATAGTCTCAGGTTCTTGGGAAACTGAGGTGAGAGGACCATGTGAGCCTATAAATTCAAGAGCCACCTTAGGGCTGGGAATGTGGCTCAGTGGTAGAGTACTTGCCTAGCATTCATGAAGCCCTGGCAGTAACCATATAAACAGAAAAGGCCGGAAGAGGCACTGTGGCTCAAGTGGTAGAGTGCTAGCCTTGAGCAAAAAGAAGCAAAGGGACAGAGCTCAGGCCCTGAGTTCAAGCCTAGGCCTGGCCAAAAAGAAAGAGAGAGAGAACCACCTGAGCAACATTGCAAGAGTCTGCTATCAATCAGTATAAGATCTTTAAAAATGTTACAATATATTCATAGCCAATGAAAACTATAATTTCTAAGGGAAACTTCAATTTTCTATAATATACCAGTAGTTCTGAAAAACCACATAAGAGGGTAAAGAACACCTTGTAAACCTTAAAAACCCATTGGGGACTGGAAATGATGAGGTGGCACTGATCAAGATGCACTGTACTCATAAACTAACATTACTGAACTGAAATCTTGTATAATTAAAGATAATTTTTTAATGGAGAAAGAACCAATCAGCATGTTTGAAGCATAACAAGCTGAAGTATTACAGGTCAATAAATGGGTGAAAATTAAAGGAAAAAAATACTTATATAAGTGGAAATACCTGTCAACTGCAGAAAATCATGTAAAACTTCCTAAGAGCGCCTTGCCAGCAAAATGGAACTTGCAGAAAATTGTATTAAAATTTTTAAAAAACTTACAAAATCCTCAGCCTCAAACTGTTTGCGTTCTCTTTTGTCTTCTTTCCTCCCAGTTTCATTGTCAGATATGTTGTTTTCATGTAGTCCTTGGCTTTTTCCAGAATGGAAAATACTGTTTCGAGAACGAGAGTTTCCACCATGGTATCCCCCTCGATGATTTATGTTTTCAGTACCATTTCTGCCATGTGAACGCCATCCATTTTTTTCTTTCCTTCCAAAATTACCTTTGATAACATTAAAAAGTAATGAAATATAGATATGTTTAGAATGAATAGCTAAACACCCTTAAAAGACTATTAAAAATTATCCTTAAACTCTTATCATGCTGGGCATTGGTGGCTCACATTAAAACACATAGCTACTTAGGAAGCAGAAATCTGAAGGAGAGATTCAAGGCCAGCCAGTCGAAAAAGTTTGCTAGACATTTCCAAATCAACTAACAAAATGCAGGGTTGGATATGTGGCTCAAGTGGTACATACAGCACCAGCCTAGCAAGAACACAAAAACAAACCACCCTGAATTCAAACTCCAGTACCATCCTGAGCAAAGAAAAACAACAAAACTATCATTCCTTTATTTACCTCCATTAGGACGTCCAATACCAGAATCAAAGGCATCAGAAGAGTTGTGTCTTCGACGATTCACATCGTAACGATTTTCTGTCCATGAAAAATTTTCAGAATGTTTCTCAAAATTCAACGATGACTGAAACAAAATACAAGCAGATATACTTACTTATAACTTTAAAAAGTAGTAAGACTCCAATTTATTTCCAAGAATTTAAATGGTTAAAATGAATACGTAAGGGAAGTAGAGCTGCGGCTCAAGTGGTAGAGAGTTAGCCTTGAACAAAAAAGTAGGGACAGCACCCAGGCCTAGGACCAGCAGTCTCCGCCCCATCCCCTGCCCCCAAAAAAGAAAAGAGATGAACTATATTGTTAGACCCTAGTCTTCTATCTATGGAAGGTAACATACCTTTCTGAAAGAGTTCAAGAATGACATCTACTTTTCCAAAAATAAAGGCTTAAAAAAGTTAAGCAATATTCTTATCACATACTACTTGTAAAAATTTTCATTCTAGTTCAAGGTTTTTTTCTACATCAAAATTGTCAAGTGAAACTTCAGTTTTAAATTCTCTAGATTTTTAGACTCCTCAAATCACATGTATAGGGAAAGGGGAGGAAAGAATATTTATTACAACTATTCCAAAAAAGAAGAAAGGAACATACAGATATCTCTACTATTTATATTAAGTAGTTAGACTCAACAGTAATCTAATAATCTGAGAAAATCACAATCAAAACCCCTAGCAACTTTAAGAATTCCTGACTTCAATGAATGGACTCAATATTAGAACTAAGAAAAATGTACACTGCAGGTGTGGCATTGCAAGCCTGTGACCATGCCCATGATCTCAAGGGAAGACCTTGAGGATAGCTTCAATTACATATTGAGGCCCTATCAAAGAAGGAAGGAAAGGGAAAGGGGATGGAAAAAGTGAACTAGCAGCCAACCAGAATAAGTGCAAGCCTAAGATCCAAGTGGAAACAGAGGCTCTATTAGTGTATCATCTTCAAGAGCAACTTGGACAACATGCCAAAAGGAGACAATATAATGCACAAAAATTGCTTCTTAAAAAAGGCATTTGAGGGGTTGGCAATGTGGCTTAGTAGTAGAGTGCTTGCCTAGCATGCATGAAGCCCTGGGGTCAATTCCTTAGTACCACATAAACAAAAAAGGCTGGAAATTGCACTGTGACTCAAATGGTAGAGTGCTAACCTTGAACAAAAGCAGCCCAGAGATAGTGTCTAGTCCTTGAGTTCAAACCCCAGGACTGGCAAAAAAAAAAAACAAAAAAATTTGTCTTTGAGAAAGACATAGTGATAGGATGAGGGAGAACACTTGTTATGCTGGTACTAAAACATGACCCGGATAGAGCGCAGTGATAGTGCCTCTGTAGCATACAAGAGGCCCAGAGTAAATTCATAGTGCAACAAACAAACTCACAATCATATGGCCCTCTCCCTCTTCCCCCACTTCTCTGTATGAATGTATAATTTTTTTTTTGGTCAGTTGTGGGGCCTGGACTCTGGGCCTGGGGGCTGTCCCTCAGCTCTTCAGCTCTAGCACTTGAGCCACAGCACCACTTCTGGCCTTTTCTACTTATGTAGTGCTTGAGGAATCGAACCCAGGGCCTCATGCATGCAAGGCAAGCAGTCTACCACTGAGCCACCTTCCCAGCCCAAAATGTATAAAATTTAAATTCGGTGGAAGACAAAAATGTACCCTATGAGAAAAAAGAAAAGTTAGAATCCTCTCTCATGTGATCAATAAAAGTAAATTCTACATGCATTAAAGACCCAAATATTAATGGGTCAAGAGACTTATCCCAACAGTAGAGCACCTACTTAGCACTCACTAACATTCCAAGTTCAAATCCCAGCATCAAAAATAAAAGGAAAAGAAATAAACAGAAAAAAAGAGTATTTTAAATATGGGAGTGTTTTGGTTTGGGTTTTTTTTTTAATTCTTGAAGGCTTTCTTAACCAAGATCTAAAACACAGGCACTATGAGACATGTCCTGAAAAACTATACAAAACAAAAATGAAGCTAGTGTCCGGCGCCAATGGCTCACACCTGTATTCCTACCTACTCATGAGGCTGAGATCTGAGAAGTTCAAAGCCAGCCTGGGCAGGAAAGTTCCCATGAGGCTCTTTTTGTTTGCTTTATTTTGTTTTTGTTGGGTCATAGGGCTTGAACTCTGGGCCTGGGCTCTTCTGTCCCTGAGCACTTCAGCTCAAGGCTAGCACCACTTCCGGTTTTCTGAGTGGTTTACTGGAGGTAAGTCTCTTAGCCTTTCCTGCCCAGGCTGGCTTTGAACCACGATCCTCAGATCTCAGCCTCCTGAGAAGCTAGGATTACAGGTGTGAACCACCAGAACCGGGCTCCCATGAGACTCTCATCTCCAGAAAACCAGAAGTGACGCTATGGCTCAAGTAGTAGAGCGCTCACCTTGAGCTGAAGAAGAGCTCAAGGACAATACCCAGGCCTAGAGTTCAAGCCCCACGACCAACAAAAAAAAAAAAAAGCTGGACAGATTAAGAAAATGTAGTGAACACAAACAAACAGTTGTAAAAATCAATGTAAATTAAGACATTAATGGGACATTAATGGAAGAATGTAAAGATCTAAAATGCAAAAGAAAACATACCTACTTTAAAGAATCAAAAATACAAATTAGAACAGGACAGTATTTCTCGTTCAAATAATAAAAAATAGCAAGATCAAATGATATTCTAAGAACATATTGCTGTAAGGCCATCTGTCATCTAAACGAATAAGTCTTGTCTACAAAACTAAACTAAGTGCCAAACTCAAGTGGAGAAGTTATTCATGTAGATAACAAGCTACCCAAAAATCTAATTTTGAAGTTCCATTTATATTAAACAGAAGAGACAACCGCATTATCAATCAATATTACTTGAATGTCAAACAGCTAATGAACGGCAAGGGGGTTGGGAACTAAAACAAGAACTCTCAAGCAAGCTGCCTTTCTCTCCACTCTTCCTTTGCTTTACCTACTTCTGAATACCTATTTCCACTAAAGAACTTGCTTTTAGTACTCCCAAAGTTTTAAATGTAAAGACTTCTGGCTCATGCTTGTAATCCTAGCTACTCAGGAGACCTGTGGATTGTGGTTCGAAGTAAGTCAAAAGTATTAAAGTTCATGTAACTATTATCTCCAACTAACTAGCAACCTGTGGCTCAAGTGGTAAGAGTGCTAATCTTGAGTAAGAAAGAAAATGTTCAGAGGGTTGAGACATGGCTCAATTGGTAAAGCACCAGCCAATGAGTCAATGAGAAGAAAGCATGTGGTAATGAGTTCTAGACCCAGTCTCAGAAAGAAAAAAAAAAAAAAAAAGGTTGGGCACTAGTGTTTCACACCTGTTAATTCTAGCTACTCAAGAGGCTGAGATCTGAGGATCGTGGTTCAAAGCCAGCCCAGGCAGGAAAAATCATTAAACTCTTATCTCCAAGAAACCACCTGAAGTGGTGCTGTGGCTCAAGTGGCAGAGCACTCACCTTGAGCTGAAGAGCTCAGGGACAGCACTCAGGCCAGAGTTCACCCCATATCCGACAAAAAAAAAAAAAGTACAAAAGGTCCTGAGTTCAAACCCTTAAACTGGTACTAGAAACACACACACACACACACACACACACACACACACACACACACACACACACACACACACACACACACACACTTTCATTAACTCATATTTTGTTTTGCTTAATTAAGAAAGAAAAAAATCTCCTACTTTCTGTTTCTATTTCCCACTACCCATCTTACCTTTTCTCTTTTGGACCTACGCTTGAACTCAGGGTTTTAACCACTAACTTCACTTTTTTGCATATAGCTTGCACTCTACCACTTGAGCCATACATCAGTCCAACCTTACCATATTTTCATGCAGTATTGGGGATTGTAATTACTAGGCAAGTCAAGCACTCTATGTATAAATGAGAGGCACCACTGGACAGATAAGCTACTCTTTCAATATCACATTCCTGAGATCTTCCTTCAATGAAGGAGATGAAATGCTACGGAAAGAACAAACCTATTCATTGGAATTACTTATCTCTCCTAAATTAAAACAATGAGAATGAGAAGAATCTAAAACAAGTCTTGTAGTTATCTAATTTTTCCGTATTTGTAATTATTTGAGTAATACACCAATAATAAAAGGTTTACTTTTCAAACTGCAAGCCAAGGCCTACTAATGGAAAAATAAACCTGGCTGGTCACAAGTGCCATTTCTGATGGGATACTAGAGAGAGACTAAAAAGGAAAATATTAGTGCACAAAGGGAGATTAAGCTTTTACTTTAGTTATATCTACATGTATACAAAAAAAAGTCTTTCGCCATGGGTAATAAACAGCTCAAAAATCAACCTGCTTATTCCATAATCAGCCAGATGCAGTTTAAACTTTCACCACATGATGGGGCTAAAATTCTATACCACTAAGAAAACTACAGAAGTGCAGTTCTGAAAACATTTTTAACTTTATATATGTATATATGTGTGTGTGTATATATATATATATGCCATCTTTTCAAAAAAAAAAGGAAAATGATCATTACACTAAACTAGCGAATGCAAGAGCAGTTAACATCTTTTCCATTTATTCAAGACAAAAGAGGAGTAATGATACAAGCAAACAAGTCTCCAGCAGGGAATAGGCGGTTAATTACAAATGGGAACACAGGACTAATGATTTTAAAAAAATGAAAGGTAGAGGCGGGCGCTGGTGGCTCACGCCTGTAATCCTAGCTACTCAGGAGACTGAGATCTGAGGATTGCGGTTCAAAGCCAGCCTGGGCAGGAGAGACCATGAGACTCCTATCTCCAATAAACCACCAGAAAACCAGAAGTGGCGCTGTAGCTCAAGTGGTAGAGCGCTCGCCTTGAGCTGAAGAGCTGAGGGACAGTGCCCAGGCCCACAGTTCAAGCCCCACGACCGACAAAAAAAAAAAAAATGAAAGGTAGAGAGAAGGTATATTAAAGAAAATATTAAGAAAGCACATTCTGCTGGGCACTGGTAGCTGACTCTGTAATCCTGAAATCTGAGGATCGAGGTCCAAAGCTAGACAGGGCACAGGAAATTCCATGAGACTCTTACTGCCAAGTAGCCACCCAAAAA